CAGAATAGTCTGTTCTAGATATATGTGGATCAAATTTGAAACTTAAGTGAAATGGTTCCCCAAGATGAGGAGCATATACAACATACCTTATGCCTCCTATTTTTCCCCACAACAGCCTTGTGAGATGGGTTGGGCTGAGAGACAGTGATTGATCAAAATCATCCAGCTGGCTTTCAAAATGTAGCACTATGGCAGCCATGCACAAAGAAAAGTCATTATTTGGGAATACAATGGAGGGGAAGGAAGAGGGAGTGTGTTTGAGGTATGGATCAACGGACGATTCTCAAATCAGAGTGATCTCTGAAGCAAACCACCATCAGTTATCCCAGGTTCAGCTTCTTGTTAACCCTGGTTACTTCTGGGTGTCTTTCTGTGAGCAATTGAGAGTGTTTGGTGAGTTACATTAGCTAGAGGTACCATACTTGAGCTGCAAAAATCTGGATCATCACTTCATGGATTAGAGTTTTCTTTATTTCTTTTTTTAAAAGTTTTTTTATTTTTTCATTTTCATACAAATAATCACATGTATACTGTTACATAACCAACATTATTTTGTATTATTAAATATTTACATCAATTCGTCTTACCATCAACCACCAAGAATGATTATTGGCTCTTCTGATCTCCATACACCATATTTGTACCCTATCCATCACTTTCTTCTCCCTCTCTCCTCCTCCTCCTCCCTACCTCCTTTCTTCCATCTGTCATCCTTCTCTTCTCCTCTCTCCATCTCCTCTCTCTCCCCTTTCCACTCCTTCTTTCTCCCCTCCTCTTCCCCCCTACCCTCTCTCCTAACCCTCTCTTCTTCCCTTTACCTCTCTCCTCTCTTTCACACTCTTCATCTCATTTACTTGGTGTATTTCAGACTCTGAGCAAGCTCCATTTTATGTTGATGGTATTTATAATTTCATTTCAATAAACATAAGCAACCATAAATAAGCCAATTGTGGAAAATTAAAACATATGAAAATCTCAAAGGGTTGCTTATCTGTGGGTGGTGTGTTTTCCATAGTATTTTGGTTAAAAATTCAAGGACTGGTTTATTCGCAGATGAGCTTATCTGTAGATATATCCGTTATANCTTCCCTCTTCCTCCTTCTTTCCTTCCTTCCCTCTTCTCCCTCCCTCCCCTCCCCTTCCCTCCTTCCTTCTTCTTCCTCCACCCTCTTTCCTTCCTTCACTCTTCTTCCCTTCCCCCTCCCCCTCCCTCTCTTCTTTTCCTTCTGTATTCTGGTAATTTTATTCCACTCTCAGTTTTGAATCCCTTAACTTTAATAATGAAAGCATTTGGGAAACACCAGGAAAACCTTCAATTTACCTTTAAAAAAAAAATATTACTGGGACCAGGTAGATGCAATTTGCTATGGAAATGTCCCAGTCAGTGGAACAAATTTGTCACACACACACACACACACACACACACACACACACACACACAGCCAGACAGACACACGCCAAAATCCCCCTCAGATAATATTTCTGTGCATGGAAATATGTCAAGTGTTAATGACTCCGTTGGATTCTACCCAGCGGTGGGTTTCACATTTTGTTACCACTGGTATGGTGCGAATGCCACTTCCGTGCATGCACTCAGCCTCAAAAACACACCTAAATAGGATGGCATAGAATTGGGACGGGGAGGGGGGGCACCTCCGATTTCAGCTACCGTCTGAATACCATCTCTGATTCTACCTCCAAACCAATTTCCCTTACATCAACACAACCTGCATGTTATATTAAACAATCAATCTGGATAAATGAAATATTCGTTACACTCCCTGTATGGAATTGGGAGTTTCCGACTCCCATCCTCAAAATGTGGAGCTTTGAGAAGCATCTGTTTTATACTGTTTTGGGGAAAGGTATTCGAGCAATATTACACCACCACCCCCCGGGTTGCTTGGCAACCAATTAAAAAAATGACACGGTATTGCTAAGATATTTTGGACATTTGTTTTATAAACAAACGACGTAAGAATCATATGCTCATCTCGGAGAACATTAGTCATGTAATAACCAATGGGGTGAATTTGGGAATCAAACCTAAATAATAAAAGAGTCTCTTCTACAACAGCTTCCTGGTAGTCAGTATATATGGTATATTTTGCTGGCTAATTTTCTGGAGATTATAAACAGCGACCAATATAAACAGCCTTTGATAGGCTCATCCTGACCAAACCTGACCAGAATTCTTTTAAAAGGACACAGCTTGAAGCCATTATCACAACGGCTGGCAATAAATGTAAGTGTGCTATGAAGAAAATATTTTACAGGAGAAAGATTAGAAGAGTTGGAAAGGGGCCTTGGAGGTCTTCTAGTCCAACCCCCTGCTCAGGCAGGAAAGCCTCTGCCATTTCAGACAAATGGCTGTCCAATCTCTTCTTGAAAACCTCCAGTGATGGAGCATTCACAACTTCTGGTGGCAAGCTGTTCCACTGGTTAACTGTTTCGTTGTTAATTTCTCCTTAATTCTAGGTTGCTTCTCTCCTCGATTAGTTTCCACCCATTGCTTCTTGTCCTGCCCTCAGGTGCTTTGGAGAATAGTTTGACTCCCAAATCTTCTTTGTAGCATCCCCTGAGATATTGGAAGATGCTATCATGTCTCCCCTGGTCCTTCTTTTCATTCAACTAGACATAACCCAAATCCTGGAACCATTCTTCACATGTTTCAGCCTCCAATCCCCTAATCCTCTTTGTTGCTCTTCTCTGAACTCTTTCTAGAGTCTCCACATCTTTTTTTACATCGGCAAAAATACCCCAACCCCTCTTGGCATTATAATCTTGGGAATTTCTAATGATTCCAAGTAAGACATTTCTATTTTTTTTTCAATTTTATAAAAAAAAACACACACACACAGCTGAATAGCTGTTCACAGCTCATCAAACTCATATTATGTAAGAGTTCTTTTTGAGGGCGATGGGAGGATTCAGAAATGTGAATAAATAAATATCACAGTTAAAAAAAAACACACCTTATCAATAGGTTGCAAATCTTTTCATTTAAATGTCCGTATTCTTTCCAGAGAGGGACGGGGTTGGCTCAGTGGCTAAGACGCTGAGCTTGTCGATCAGAAAGGTCGGCCGTTTGGTGGTTCGAATCCCTAGTGCTGCGTAACGGAGTGAGCTCCCGTGACTTGTCCCAGCTTCTGCCAACCTAGCAGTTTGAAATCATGTAAAAATGCAAGTAGAAAAATAGGAACCACCCTTGGTGGGAAGGGAACAGCATTTCATGCGCCTTCAGTGTTTAGTCATGCCAGCCACATGACCACGGAGACGTCTTCGGACAGCGCTGGCTCTTCGGCTTTGAAACGGAGATGAGCACTGCCCCCTAGAGTCGGGAACGACTAGCACATATGTGCGAGGGAAACCTTTACCTTTTATTCTTCCAGAATTGGAAATATTAAGAAGTCAAAACGCTGCATTCCAGATGATAGAAGCTATTGTCTAAACACAGTATTCCTGGACCACAATTCAAAGAACAATACTTTAAAAAGTTTTCCCTTTTTAAAGAATCTGGGGTCTTGTTGAAAACACAGCACATTGTTTTCCTAAGAATCGTCTTGCTCCTTATTATTATTATTATTATAATAAACATCCTCTTTGCTTTGAGACATCCATCTGCGTTCCTAACAAAACTTGTGGTCTTTAAAGCCGATATTTATTTTGTCTGGAGAAGACTTTTACACTGGTTTATACTGATAAAACATGTAGTCGGATGCAAGATGAGCTTTCATTCCCTTACCAAGAATTTTATCCTGCTGAGCAAACAGAGAAAGACAAGACAGAAATTGCCATAGCTCTTTATAAGATTGCCTGTTTTGTTGTGATGATTCAGCACAGGAACCACACTTTTGAGAGTGGGTAGATAGGACATTTCCACAATGGTGATTTATGGCTTCTCCTGGATAGCTGGGGCTGCCTGCCCTCATTGGTGACAGGGTGATGCAGCTGTATTATTCAGCACTTCAGTGAAAATGATT